AGAGAGAGAGAGAGAATATGTATAAACAAAACGGCCGTGCACTGCAAAACGTACATTCATTAAAATACATATTGTCGTTTAGCACAAATCAGTTGAAAATCGAGAGATTAAATAATTACAAAAGGATGGAAGAACCGAAGAGAGACGAAAAGCCACATAAACCGAGGACGAAGTTAGTTAAAAAAAATAAATAAATAAAATAAAAATAAAAAAAAACAGAAAAAAAAGGAAAAAATAACAGACACACCAGTACAGTCATGTCCGAAAAAAGCAAGAGAATCATGAAGATGCTTCTCTGTATATACGTTTAAAAAATGCAGTAAAGAAAAATACGAATGAAGGGAACATTTCTTTTCTAGACATTACCATTATACATATGTACTGTAATTATATAAAACATTAATAATACATATTTTCGAGATACACGACCAGTCGGAAAATGTTTGTTCAATGAAGACTACGGTTCGATCTAACGCATCATTAATTATATTTAACGTAGAATCGATATTTACATGTGAATACACCCGCATCAGCATTTATATGTAAATATTTGACTAGCGTTAAGTGAAAAAAATTATGCATAAACTTGCAAACTTCGTAGTTTTCTCCATACGATTATATATTATTCCTTTGTAACTTCGATGAATGCTAAAGGCCTCGTTATTTTCACATATTCTGATACACGCATGTTTCGAACTGAAACTATTGAATTTAGACTTTTAAGATTGTTCTGCTATTATAAATCCGTACAAAACAACATTGGTACAGTATAACATGGAAATTAAAGGATCATAAAAAAAATTATATGATCTTATACGATATTTTATGGATTGATTTTGCCATTCATTTTATTCATTTAAATTGAAAATTTATTTTCGAATTACCAGTACATTTTTTTTACAATTAACGTCAGAATATTAATATGTATTTTGTAGAAGAATATGGTTATAGTAATTTTCTTATTTTTTTTAATTGATTGTATAATTGTATGATTGAGAGTCTAGTCGTAAAGAGATGAAATTGTAACTTAAATTTATAAATATTAAATGATGAAGTACTTGTATACACGTCATACACATCTGAACGGACAACCAAAATATGATTATACAATGAATGCGTATAACTCACGAATTAAAATATTAATTAATTCTATAGTAAAGTTGTATGTTAGATAGTTTAAATATTTTTAACTCTTACTGTCGACATTGGCAATTAAACCTCTCTTAAATTTTAGTGAATAAATAACTATTTTCTTTTCTTTTCTCTTTCTTTTTAATATTTGATATATGAAATAATAGATATATAAAATTTATAAAAATTATATATCAAATTATCAACAATTAGATAAATCATTAAAAATAAAAAAAAGAATTGAAATAATATTTACAATTATAAAAGCTACCTATCAAATATTTTTCATGTGCAAATATATCAGGAAATGTAAAATGTAAAATCACAGAAATTGATAAGTATCGATCAATGTAATTGCTCGCTCTTGTTGTTTTTTTGTCA